CGGTCGGCTTTCGCCATAGTTCCGCGCTCTTTGACGGATAGAGCAGCGAATGCCAGGGGAAGTGCCTGCAAAGCCTTCAAGGCTGATTGGGTCATGACCTTGTTGCCATAGACACGGCTGTACTCGCGGATGGCGAACATGACATCCTCGTCGAGGGGGACGGGGAGGATCGGTGCTTTGGAAGACAGTTCAAAGTTGACCGCCATGTTTCTATGATGACCGGCGTGTTGCGGAGTTGTGGAGGCTCTGATGGGAGAAGGGAGGAAGGCCTTCGGTGTGTGGTGCGTGTGGTGTGTGGAGTGGTGTGTGTGGGACAGGGTGTGTGATGTGAGGTGTGAGGTGGGGGCGCGTGGGGGATGACGTATGATCAAAATATTAGGGTATGCTGTTCGGTTCCGAGCTTAGAACCAAAAATAACCCCCCTAGCTGACAGTCCAGGCGAACATTTTTTTGCTGTACCCATAAAATCGAGACGGAAATCTTCGATCGCCGATTATTCAGAGCAAAATGTTTGGCAAAAGTTTCAACATTTTGTTAAAGATTCTGCTTCCATAAACATCGGTCTAATCCGCATGGATCTTCACCTCGAAAGTTGGCTGCGCAAAGTGACTCTGAGCCACCCAGCAAAACCAACAAACGACGGACAAGTGTTCAAAGGAAGTGCCATCTACCCCCGTTGCGTTCTTCTACGACCCTAGGTGATTTTACATTGCCTTGTCGTACTAGCAAACGAAAACGAACTAGGGCCCGAAAATTAAATGATTGATGCATTTCAATCATTTCTATTAGCAGCTACACCGTTTCCGTTTTTAGACTTACTTGTTTGTTTTTTGTTTGTTTGTTTGTTTTTCTCCCATCATTGGGCTCTGTCGTCTGCCCCTCTGGCCCCTATCCTCCACTTCTACTAGCTAGACGACCCAACCGGGGTCACATAGGAGGGGGGGATTGGACCCCCTCCTGCGGTTCATGCCTGAGGTATTTTTATCGCGAGAAGGGTACAGCAATCCCTTCCCTCGCGACTTGCGGAGTCGATTATGGTTTACTCACAAACGAGCTTTGCAGCGCGTCGCTTTCATCCTAGACCAGGATTTATTTAGTGAGAAAAAAACTCTCTCTGCCGGGACTCGAACCCATGACCTGGCCCTTAGCAGGCTGCGAGGCTACCCACTAGACCACCGGGGCGACCGGTAGTGTGTGGACCCGTAACTGTCGGAGACAGAGGCCGGTGCCTTGGCAGTACTATCCCACTGCCAGGGGAACGCTATTTCCTCTCGTGATATGTAAACGAGGAGAAGAGGGTAGCGAGGGAGAGTGGCCAGAGAGAGCAGAAGGAGAGGAGAGTCGAAGAAGACTCTCCGCTTCTTCTCTCGGTAAGTGGTCAGGGACTTCGGAAGAAACAAATCTCCGACGGTGCGTTTCTTGTCAATCTCCCAGTGACAAGATGCCCCGATGGAGCGATATCTTCCTACACTCTGTATGTGTAGAGGAAACCGGGGTATTAGCGGACACCTAAGCCGCTCCCACGCCAACAGCTCGTTCTCGGGTGGGAGAACGAGTTTGAAGTGTATGAAAGTATCCAGCGGTAGACTTAGGCTACCTCTCAAAAAAAAAAAAAGGAAACACACCCAAGTCTTGATGAGTGACACACCCAAGTCTTGATGAGTGATGGCTGTTGCAGTGTAGCTGAAGTTTTACCCTAAAACGAAGGATAACACCCCCGGCGCCAATTAACCCTTCTGGCCCTGGGCCATTCGCCCTCCCTGTGACCTGCGGACCCCGATGCGGCGGGTCTATTCAAAACATGAAGGAGGCGCACAGCGAAAAAGTACGCAAAACGTGCGCATGTACTTCTGGTTGCAGTTGTCGTTGTGGGCACACAGGGAGGGTGGCGCCGTCCCGCGACTGGCTCAACATATTGTTTAGGGTACAAGAAAGGTTGCCTGGCCTCCATCCCCAGATGTCTCTGGTGTTTTTTCCCCTCTGATGTGTCCATCCCCAGCTCAAACGACTTCTATTTCAGTACGTTCAGATCCCCATTTTTTCGGAGCAAGCCGGTGTGTCAAATGATCATTTTTTTCCCTCCGAAGGTAATTTTACTCCAAGTGTACTTCTCTGCACTTGCTCCGTGACTGCACGGTGAGGCCTTAGGCCTCACCCACGGGCCACCCGAGAGACGGCAGCAAGCACAGACACGAGCATACGCTGCGTGCACACACACGAGACCATGGACAACCTTCCTACCCCTAACGTTGCAGGGTACGTGTCTGGTAACGACGAAGCGTGCTCCCAAGACTGAGGTCCTCAGACGGCCTGTATGACCCTTCATGCGCCTGCCGGCGTACCCCTACCGTGCGTGTGTGTGGATGTGCTGTGTGTCGCTCTGCCGCTCTGTGCCAACAGAGGTGCTATACAACTCCCTGCGTGGTGGTTCGGGGATTTTTCTTAACTGTCCCCGTATCGAGTAGACCGGATTACTGGCTGGACTACTGGGCCTCGGTGATCACTTTTTTGATAAAAAAAAAGTGGGCGGAGCCTCAGAAGGCAACAACAACAATAACCCATTGTTGTGGTTTGGTCTCAGCAGCTTCCCTGCTGCATACGTATCTACTAAGGAGCTAGCGAAGCTGTCGGCTGGCTGCCGTACAGCAGTAGTCTATCCAGATGTCGGGACAAGTCGGTCGTTGGGGGGACGGCGCGACTGAGTATAAATGGGAAGTCCATGAGCTGGAGCTTGTTTGTGGGCAATAACATCCTCGGAGCTTGCCAGGCAGCGCAACTCCAACTACTACTGCTGTAACTCCAGGGGGTAGCAAACAGCTGGGTTATTACCGAATAACAGCAGTGCTACCCGCGCGCCGTGTGCCTTGTGACCATATTGCGATATCCTCGTCCTCGCACCCTCCCCATCCATGTACTCGTACATACATGAATATGGCTACTGTTTTAGACTACACCACATTCGTCACGGTTCCAATATACAGCAAATGTATCTGTTGAAATGGTAGCATACATGACTGTATGTAGATACGTACCTAAAATGACAGTTGAATAGAGAGATTATCATAATGATGATGCATGTGTGACTGCTGTAGCCTTTCTGCACGTATACTTGTTTTTCCTAAATACTGCTGTAAAAAGCCCCCCTCGAACGACTATGATTTTCGCTCGAACAGGGAGCTTTTATGTGTTTAACGGGTAGTCTTTCTATGTGCATAGACTATATTTGTTTTTCCTAATATATGTATTTTTCTAAATTAAACCAGCAACTACTGTCAACATGACATATTGCGCCGTGATCCCTGTGCAGGCCACATGTAAATGTTTTTTTGTTTGTCTCCCATCATTGGACTCTGTCGTCTGCTCCTCTGGCCCCTATCCTCCACTTCTACTAGCTAGACGACCCAACCGGGGTCACATAGGAGGGGGGGGTTGGACCCCCTCCTGCGGTTCATGCCTGAGGTATTTTTATCGCGAGAAGGGTACAGCAATCCCTTCCCTCGCGACTTACGAAGTCGATTATGGTTTACTAACAAACGGGCTTTGCAGCGCGTCGCTTTCATCCTAGACCAGGATTTAGTCTAGTGAGAAAAAGACTCTCTCTACCGGGACTCGAACCCATGACCTGGCCCTCAGCAGGCTGCGAGGCTACCCACTAGACCACCGGGGCGACCGGGATGGTAAATGTACCTACGCAGATGTTTTTGTGCTAAGCACCAACTGGTATCACTGATATAAATCATCAGTGTATAGGCTTAAATGTTGTTGCTGTTTCCGTTGGTTGTTGTTGTTCAACGCTGCCGGCCTTTTCGTTTTTTTTTCTCTGGAGAGGGAGTCCCACCAACCAGCGTGTGTTGCACACACCACACAGCGAGAGCGGGACGGGAGCAGGGTGTGCCCTATACTACTGCTGCTGCTAGCTTTCGGCGGAGGAAGCGAGAGGAGAGATATTGATTGGGTCTCTGTGGGTCCATCGGTTGGTACTACTATTTGTGTTGCGACGCGGCGGGAGGGAGCGGCCTCTGCTCTGGAGCGAGGCACACATACATCACAGCACGGAACCAGTAACACATCACGCTCGTTCCTAGACGATGTAGTACCACTGCTGTGCTGTGCACCTCTCTACACTCATTGTGGGCGAGAGGGTGTGTCGCCTCTGCTGCTGCTGCTGTTGCTGTTATCTAAAGCGGTGGCGGAAGCGTCCTGTTCAAACAATCAGCAGCAGCAGCACCAGCCGCCGGGGAATTTTTCAACGTTTTTTCTTCGGCGCGGCTATTTGGGACAACGTTGTCTAACTCGGCGTAGAAAGCTCGGATCGACCTCAAACCAAGTTTGTTGTAATCCTACTGGACACAGCTTTCACGGAATGTATTTTGAGTCCACAACGGAGCCGGGGCCGAGGAGATAGAGCCTAAAAAAGGGGCTCCTTGTTATGGAGGAAACGTGAAGATTCAGTTCTACGTATGTATTTGAATCTGTGGTTTGTGGAGGCGTGTCGGAATTCGGAAAAGCGGGGATCGAAGAAAAACAGAGACAACCTTGGTGTCAGAAAGTTTTTGTGCTCTCGCTGGGCGAGAGACAAGCAAGTGCATTTGAGAGAAGGAGAGGAGTAGCAGAGATAGCAGCTTTGAGGAGCAGCAAACACGGAGTGCCGCCTAGGATTTGATCGATTTTGGGATGGACGGCAATGATGGGCAACCGGCGAGCGCGAGCGCCGCGGCGGGCGCCGCGGCGGCCATTCAAGGCAACTCGGGGCACGGCAGTCTTCCAAATTCAGCTGCCGGAGGCGGGGACGACCAAAACGCGCAGCCGCAGCAGCAACAACAACAACAGCAGCCGCAGCAACAACAACAACAACAATAGCCGCAGCAGCAGCCGCAGCAGCAGCAGCAGCAGCAGCAGAGTCAGGCGCAGCAGCAGCAGCAGCAGCAGCAGGGACACCAGCATGGCCGACCGCAGCATCCAAACGCCGGCGGTCCGGCGGCAGCAATTCCGCCGCCGCCGCCCATGATCCCCGGAGCCCTCCGACCTCAGCTGATGCAACAGCAGCAGCAGCAGCAGCAGCAGCAGCAAGGAGCCGGGAACAATCCGAACCTCTTCTCGCTGCTGCAACAGCTCGTCAATCAGGGCCACCGCCAGCAACAACAGATCCGGTCTCTCCAGGAGGTTGTGGTAAAGTTGACCGGCAACCGGCAGCCCGCGCAGGGCGCCGCGGCCCACAACAATGCACAGGGCGGCTCCGCCCCCGACAATAGCGAGTCAGTAGTCCTCCCCCTGGTCCAAGTGCCACCGCAACAGCAGCAGCAGCAGCAGCAGCCGCCGCAGCAGCAGCAGCCGCCGCCGCGGCAGCAGCAGCAACAGCAGCAACAGCAGGAACAACCTCAACAGCAGCAGCAGCCGCCGCAGTCGCAACCGCTGCAACAACAGTATCAACACCTACAACTCCAGGCCTACCCCAGCCAGCACTACCACCAGTCGGCCGCGCCCCAGGGATACCAACAGCTCGCGAGCATCCCGGGGGCCGCGCCTGTATACAATGCCCATCGGCTGAAAGAAGGACGGCCAAGCGGCCTTGTACCTAATGCGAGGCGCTACCTTCTCGCCTATCGTCATGACGGGGGGCGAGCTAGACAACATCATTCGGGACGTGGCCCACCCGCACCCGGGCCTGCACGCGCTGCTTACCTTCAGCGCCATCGACATCGCGGCGTTCTCGCCGCCGCCCCCCCCGGGGGTAGCGGCGGTGACACGTACGTTCGACGTGCACCTCGACACCTTCATTCGCGTCCTGGAAGTGTTCATCAAGGACGGCATGGCAGGCGCCTCTCCGGCCGGGGCCGACCGTGTTGGCCTGTTTTTCCGGGAACTCTTCAGGATCTCCGAGGACCTCCGCCGGTACTCGTCCCGCCACTGCGCCGAGTTCAAGGGCCGCGAGGCCGACGTCTTCGCCAGGTTCAAGCAAGACGCCAACCTCGATTGGGCCGATTTCGTCAGTCGTCTGACCACCGAAGCTAGGGCGCTCCGGCAGCGCAACACCCTGGCCCCCCCACCCCCCAATACGGTGGGGGCGATCCAAGTTCCGCAGTTCTCAAGGACGTTGGTCCTGATTGCGGAGGGTACGGCTTTTTCGATGGTGGGTCTCCTGCAGGGGGGTCTAGCCCGTCAACAACAGTCAAAACCGTCGTCCGCGAGCACCAAACGCAAGGCGACTTCGCAGGGTCATCCTGCACGCGCCCCCGTGGCCCCAGTCCCATCCTCTTCCACGGCAGCCGCCACCGCGTTTGCACAGACCGTCGCCGCCTGGAACACTCCCAACAACGAGTGCTTCTACACGTGGTCGGGCACGACCTGCACACGCCCGCAGTGCGAGAAGGGGCACACCCAGCGGCACCCGTCACTCTTGCCTGCTGTTCCTCCCCCCCCCCCCCTCCGCCCGCTCCGCCCGCTCGTGCCCCCCCTGCCCCGAGAGCGACACAAGCACCAGTCGCGAGGTACAGCCACGGAGGCGGCCGAGGAGGAGGAGCAGCGGGAGGAGGAGGAGGTGGAGGGAGTGCGGGAGGAGGCCGTGGCGGTACCAATCCGTGACGGTGCGGGCCCCACTTTCACGAGGTGGGGCCGACAAGGGGGGGTGGCGAGCTTGGCACGGGAGCGAACGCCTTCGCTGACAGCAGAAGGACAGTAGCGAGCATGGGAGTTCCCCTTCCCGGGTCGGTGGCACCCGCTGTGTTTTACGGTGAGAGCATGAGTTGCGAACCTGTAATTTCCCATCCTGTTAACTGTTTGGATTCGATTTCGCCTTGCATAGTGGCGGACACCACTCACGCCGAAACGTCACAAACAGCAGCTACGGGGGCGGACACCCTCGGCGCTAAGTACGGGTCAAATAACACACAAGCGGAGGACACCACACGGGTGATAGATAAGTCAAAACTATTGGCGGACACCAATTGTGCGAATACTAACACACACCGGGCGGACACCCGGTGTGAACAAGCATTACCTTCACTCTCGCAAACGGTGGACGCCGTTCCCGCGAAAAATTCATTAAGGGCATACTTATTGGCGGACACCAATAGCGGGATCAATTACTGCTCTGCCTTGTACACCACGAAGACTTTGGCGGACCCCACACGTGCTGAACACTGCAACGCAGTCGCCTCCGGGGCGGACACCCCGGGCGAATGTAATTGGCCCCGAGGCACGCAAGCGGTGGACGCCGCGAGCGTTGTCGGTAAACAAAAAATACTGGCGGACACCAGTAGTGTGCAGAAGGACATACACAGGGCGGACACCCTGCGTAAGAATTTGTCAGTCACACAGCCCCGATTGGCGGACACCATTCGCGGGAACGACACGAAATTGGCGGACACCATGACCGTGTCAAAAGCTCTCCCGGGGGCGGACACCCCGGGGGAAGCACTGTTGGCACGTAGGGCACTAGCGGCGGACACTGCTAGGGCCGCTGACATCACAAAAGTAATGCGACATGATTGCGGGTCGAATTCAGCGAGTTCTCACTTTGGGGCGGGGAAAGAACCTTCGGTCCTAGAGAGTCCAAAAAATACAACCTTGTCGAAAAGTTCAAAAACTCTGACTGATAGACTCGAGGTACAGAGAAGCATACTCGCGTCAAGCATACACTCACTAGACGAGAAGCAATGTATCATTCGGAAAATGGCGGACATTGGTAGTGATTTGGTAAAGCTCCACGATGGAAGGCTGGGAGACGTCGCGAGGGGAATCGGCGGCACTTTGGTGTCACCGCCGTTGGACGTGAGCGACGTCAAGCAGTATTTCGGAGAGGAGAAGGGCTTCCCGGGTATCGATGACCTCATCGAGATAGTCGGTGAAGGAGCCCCGGCCCCCACTCTAGACTCGCAGCAAAACCTTAAGAAAGCCTTGGCATACGGCAACCACCGTAGCGTAGACGACCACCAAACACAAGTGTGGGAAAAACTATGCGAAGATGCCAAGCGTAACAGGTGTATCGTCCTGAGAAAGGCGAATGCGTCGGACGTACGTGGGATCAGAGTAGCCCCGTTGGGAGCGGTCCCAGGGAAAAAAGTGAGGATCATCAACGACTTCTCGTTTGACCCAAGCAATAGTAAGGGGTCAAAAGGTGGGCTCAACAAAGATACCATTATGTCTGGAGTTCCACGGTGCCTGTGCGGCGAAGCACTACCAGCTTTCCTCGAGGAGCTCACTAGCCTACGAGTAAGATGGCCCGACAAGAGAATTCTCGCAGCCAAGGCTGATGTCACCTCTGCGTTCAGAAATGTGAGGATATCACCAGATCATGCACACAACTTTTGCTACGTGATAGGAGACGTGCTAGTAGCGGATCTACGGCTGACCTTTGGCTGGGCAGCGTCACCAGGATTGTGGGGTGTGTTAGCCTCCGCTGCAGAGCACTCGCACCGCAACACGTCCCTCGCGAACGCTCGACTACTACCAGAAGGAATCGCAATGATGTCTCACGTGAAAATAAAACCTCCTTGGGAAAAAGGCACCCCAACCTCAATACCCTCGTCGGCAAGCGTTAGACCGCATTGAGGCGGAGGACCCGCGGACGATTTCTTGGCCAGGGTCTACGTTGACGATTTCTTGCTCACGAAGGTCCAGCATGACCCCACTGACCAATCGGCACTCATTGCTTCCGCCTCGCTAGCGTCAGACCATGTCAGACTGTTTGGCAAGGGAGAAGTCGGAGAAACCCCCATTCTCGCCCCGGAAAAGAGCACTGACTGGGACACGGTCATAGAGGCCCTGGGGTATATCATAGACACGCATGATGGCAGAATTGCAACTACACCGGAACGGGAAAGCGCGATTCGGAAGGTACTAGAGGCGGATTGGCCCCACGATAGGAAAAAGGCCAGTGTTCAAGAAGTCCTCAGTATTGCAGGAAAACTGTGGAACCTCACTTATGTTATCAGGGCCGGTAGGTACTTCGTGTGGCAACTGCTCCGCCTATCGGGTCTGCATACGCAGGCCAGTCGACACACACGGTCACGACGACTAGTGGACTTGGGTAGAGAGTTCCACGGCGATATCGCCTTCTGGAAGTGGGCCCTCAATCAGCCACTGGCACTTCGAGGGGAGTCCCTCAGCGCATCGTTCTTACTCCACGTAAAATGAGCACCCTCACGCCTTTACCTCTCAGACGCTAGCTTCACAGCGATTGGCGGCTACTGTCCCGAACTAAAGACTTTCTGGAGATACACGATCGAATCATCGTTGTCTGCGGAGCTCAAGCGCAAGGCGCAAGAGAAGGAGACGTCAGACATTAAAATCTGTTAGAACTCGCGGGCATGTTCATGACGGCGTGGGTAGTCCAAATGATCTTGAAAGACAGACCTGTAGAAGAAGGGCAGTCGGTGTTGATGCGTGGAGACAACGTGTCGGCCGTCAGTTGGACTCAACAGGTGTGGGGGGTCGCGCGACAGGCGCGCAGCCTCATAATGAGACTCATGGGTAGGATGGAAATTTCTTGCGGCTGGTGCCACGTGGCTAAGCACATCCCTGGTCGAATGAACACACTTGCGGACGGGATCTCACGTTGGGAAGAAAATGAGATCGCCGCCAACGTGAAAATGCTCACAAAAGACTCAGAGTGGACACAGTAGGATATTGGAGTAGGGGAACGAGCGTTGCTCAACATTATCCTACAAAAGAAATTGCCGAAAGAAAGTCTGGACGACTCGGTATGGGACATTATGGTCGAAGGGACAGAAAATATCTGACACGGCAGAGGCGGCGGTCGGACACCGCCCTGTGTTCCGGACGATCAACGGATTATCATACGAAATGAGATAGCGAGAAGCTGGAGCGGTGGACACGCCTCACATTCACTGTTTCATGACGCCTTGATGAAATGGATAGCCGGGGGAGGCAGAGTTGGTTTGGACGACCAAGTTTTCCTGTTCTCCCTCCAAGCCAAGTCGGGGCTATCCACGGGTTCGGCATGAACTTGTCGTGCCTTGGGAAGGAACCTCGAAATGTGCGCATTCCTCACGCTGTGTATACCCGATGATTGGATATCAGGAACTCAGGGAAAGGATGGCCGGGGAGGCACGAGCGCCGAGGGGGAGCGGTTGGTCATCGCACTCACCTTCGGGTCTTTGGGAAGTGGTACCAACAAGGTGTATCAAAGGATGTGGAACACGTGGAAGGAGGCTCGAGCAGGGGAGGTTCGGGCCCGTGGCTCCGCGAGAGCGATGGGGTGGAAAGTGCGGTGCGTGAGCTGTCTGTGTTCATGGCTTGCCGGTGTTTCGGTCACAAGAACCAGAGTCAGACTATCCGCGGGTATCTCTCAGCCATCAAGTACTTCCATAAGATGCACACAGGATGGGAGTTGCCCACTTCGCATCCAGATCCTTGCCATGTTGAAAACCATTGATAGGGTCCACGCCAATACGCAGGCGAAGCCTAAGGTTAGGAATCCCCTTTCATGGAACATGCTAGAGGCTGGAAAGTGCGTGGTCGAAAATTCGGGAGAATCAGGGAAGTTGATCTGGTGTGGACTTGCCCTCTCGTACTTGCTGATGTGCCGAGCTTCAAAAATCTGGGCGGACGACTCGGGGCTCGTGCACTCGGATTTTCGTCTGACAAGAGGAGACCTGGGTTTCTTTTGCGGTCCGGTAAGGGTTGCATGGGCAGACCGGAGGCAGGCTAGCCAAGTGGAAGTCACGTTCAGAGCGTCAAAAGCAGATCAAAAACGTTTGGAAGATCACAAGATCGGGAGTAGCGTTGAAGGTGTTACTCGATCTGTTAGATCTGCACCCCGAGCTTGGGAGTCATGCGCCGTTGATGCAATCGTGGGCACAAGACAAGTAGAAGGTTATTTCGAGGGCAGAGGCATCGAGACACCTCAGGTTACTCGTGAGTGCGGCGGGTAGAGACCCACAGAAGTACGCGTTGCATTCAGGAAGGATCGGGGGGGCCACGCACCTAGCAAGTATGGGGGCGTCGGTAATTCAGATCCAGAGAGCCGGAAGGTGGAAATCATCGGCTTTCATGGTGTACGTTAGGGTGGGGGGTGAAGGAGCAAAGTTTGTGTCTCAGGCCCTTACGGAACCCGAGGAGTGACCAGGGAGCGGAGGAGTAGGTCATCGGACATGCCCAATGGAGTAAGATATGTTGAGGCCAGAGGCCGAAACAATAGTAATGATAGTAGGGCAATCTTGGGAAGTTTGCAACGGGTTAGTCCGATAAGTAAACGTTGTGAGCAAGACGGCATTTTACCTGCGCTCCCAATTTGTTTCATGTG